GTGCCCTGATGGTGTAAATGTGCCGCGTGGGGCCACTTAGGTTTGGTTTCCCTTACTGTCCAGTTGTAGGTCGGCACTGCTGTCCAGTGATTGCATTGCATTCCAGAAAAACTGTACATGAGTTGGGCCAAGGTGTGCCAAGGTGGAGTTATGGTGAGGATGGGCGGTTTCAACGTCTCTATGGGCTGCTCAATGAGGCTAGTAAGACAGAGACGAAGAGAAAGACAGGGACAACGTTATTTAACGATCTCAGCTTGAATTCTTGGTTAATACATTATGCTCGTACAATATACAAATACACTAAGGAATGCATGTGGAGAACATGGCTGACAAACACACCACACGTATAGTCATCCTGGACCAGAAAAAAGAGATGAAAAAATCGTCGGTTAATTTGTGATCAATTTGGAAAAGTTTATTAAAAAGGGAAACAATGTATAGTGATTTTAAGTATTTTATTTGCTAAAATCATGTCTTTATTCATAAATGTTCACTCATTGGCGAGCCCAAGCAGACAAGGAATTACGTCGGGAAAAAGCGAAAAAAGGGAATTAAAAAGTTGCCTGCGTTCTCTCCCTCGACGAGGTAACGTGTTAAGTCAATGTTATACAGGTTAAAGTTCACAAAGGTTTCATTTAATTTCTTCTCCCTCTCCGCTCTCCCTACCGTTGAATCACCCTGATGATAATCTAACAAATGCACGTATATCGAAAAATAAACGGATAATTAGCATAGTTCTGCTTTTTACCATCTGTGGTTTCATACTGTAACATTCGTTTGTTATCGTTGTGTCAAGTGTTTAGCTAACCCTGGCTACGACATAGGGCTAGTACATGGCAGGCTCCAAAAAACAACAATAAACATTGGCAACCATAATTCACATCTGCCTCGAGGAGTAATTTTATACAATGCTCACACTAATGATTCAATGCAGTTTGTATATTGGTTTGAATAACGGAACCTCATCACCAGAAAGACAACTGCGATGAATGTTATTGGAAGACCAATGTTGATCATAGCTTGGTACATAATGGCTACCGTAGTTAATACACATTTGAAAACAAAGGCGCTAGAGAGACTATTCTTCTGAATGCAAATACATTTCACCGCTAAGAATGGGGAAAATCCTACA